TAAAATTACACTTTTAGGTTAATTCAACATCATATATTAAAATTATACTTTTAGGTTAACTTCACATCATATATTAAAATTATACTTTTAGGTTAACTTCACATCATATATTAAAATTATACTTTGATCAAGTTTAATTTTTTTCCATGTACAAAACTTTTTAATACCCCTTCTTGTGTAGTTTTTTTTTTATCCTGTAGCTTCTACCTCTTTCCACCATAATTCTCCTTCAGTGACCAGTAACAGCTTTGTTTTAAGATGAAAGGGATCAAATATCTTTCTGCATGTTTTCAAACATACCTGAAGAGATGTCAGTTTGACCTACTTAATGCTTTCCACAATTACATATCATACTGTATGTGATCCTTGCAAGTAGATCTTTCCTCTTGCTTAAATTTGCTCTACAAATAAGCTGTAATAAGGCAGTAGGTAGTCTCTTATTATTCTCTTGGTTTAGATTAGAATTACTTTGGCATTCATAATTGTTCTAGCTTGTTGGATAGTCCTTTTAATGAAATATGACACACTTCGGCATTCAAGAACTTTGGATCACAAAGACAGAAGGCTCATGAGAATATATATATACATTTATACTGTAATATAATACCTTGTGCAGGACAGTGAGAGTTAAGGTTTACTATCTTAAATAATTAGTGTAGACACATGGAAATTAAGGTAGCACTGACCCTTAATGAGCACTTCCAATATTTAAAAAAAAACATTTTTCAAATTTAGTTTAAGTTGAAAGTTTAACATCTTTTTTACATAAATAACTCATTTTTGTCATAATGGTTATTTTCTCAAAACACAGTTTTCACTGGGGTCATCAATTTATTAGCACGATAATTTCACCATTAAAGTCAATATCAGCATGAAATTTAGCACACTTGTTGATATTACACTCTTTCATAACTTGAATTTTTTTTAATTCAAAAATCGTTACCAATTGCCTTGTTATGAGTCTTAATTACCACTAATGAAGGCAGTAATTAAAATTAATTGCCCATAGCTTGTTAACATTGCAGAAAATTTGCAAAGTTTTAATTCAAGCTATGAGGATGTTCAAAGAGTATGTGTATCAATTTTCACACATTTTTATCATTCCTAAATAGAGTTATGGTGTTAAAACAGTTTATGTTATGTATTTATTTATCTTTGCTGCATTAATTATGCATATGACTGAAAGTGTTTCTCTGGTAAACATGACGGTTGAGTAAGGTATTAATGGATTGGGCTGTATTTATGTAAAATGTAAATATAATATGGCAATGTAATGAGAGGATGTTTCATTTTGTAGTTTCTCATGAATGTCCTCTTTAATTTATCCTAATAGCTGAAAATCACAGAGAAAAATTTTCTACTTGTTTCAAGTTACTTTTTTGATATACTTAGAAAGCATTTGCTTCAAATCAACAATTAGTTATTAAGAAGTTGTGCAGCCACTTGTTGTACTCCAACAATTACATGGAAAGTAGGATCACTGTGTAGTGCAGGGCCATAAATTAAAATAGAAATTTTAGAATTTTTTAGCCGTTTACTGGATAATTTAAATCAACAATTAGTTATAAAGAAGTTGTGCAGCCACTTGTTGTTCTCCAACAATTACATGGAAAGTAGGATCACTGTGTAGTGCAGGGCCATAAATTAAAACAGAAATTTTAGAATTTTTTAGCCGTTTACTGGATAATTTAAATTATTTTTGAGCTCTTACTATTTGGTTCTGGCATAGTTTGTTAGACTAGATATCTCACGTGAAATGTTCTTCGTATCATAAATTGTCTTTTGATGAGTTTTCTGTACTGGAATATTTCATAATGTTTCAATAATGTCTAAAATCATTATTGCTAAGAATAGATTTGAGCACAGCTTCTCTTGTAGTTAACCTACTGTAATCTGAATCATGTTTAATCTATAATGTACAAGTTTTAATGCAAAATAATTTAGCAAAACATTTTTTAAATGATGTTTGAGGCTCTAAATTGCAGTTAATTAGATGTAATTCACATTTGAAGTATATATACATATACCTTCAATTGATAAAAGGTTTAACAGCTTTACAATGCTAAGCACTTAAAGGTTTTTGATTTTTTAAACATCAATAGTTATTCTTCTATACCAATAATATATATATATTTTTTTATTTTTAATTTATTATCCCAAGCTTTTACTACACTGAATCGCAATATTTCCACATTTAAAGTACACCTGAAACTTACTGTGGACCCCTTTTTCTTACAATAATTTCATTTGTAAGTGTAGTAAAATCTTAATTCAAACACAAACATATCTTTAAACATTTCTAAAAAAATATTAAACAAAAATAATGTGAGATAAATACAAATACCAGCATACTTACTCAACTATTAAAAAAAAAGGGGGATACAAATGTGTGGAAAGAAAAATAAATGTTACTAGCTTGGTAGAATCATTCAGCTAGTTATCAACATTTACTAAAGTAAAAATCATTATCTACCTGAATAGCATTTTTAAACCATATTTCTGCTTCATTCACACGTTTCTCATCCATTGCCAGCATTCCAAGGTTGAAATAAACTCTTTCATTAGCTTTTCCTTTCTCTAACAGGTGTTGTAACCTAAAGCACAATATTAACTGTTTAAAGACTGAAAATTGAGGTAAAATTGATTTAATAACACACAGTGCATTTATTAAAATATTTCACAGATTACTTACTTTTTGTAAACTAACACACTAAACTGTATTAACTTATAAAAACTTCAAGGATAAAATAATCTCTCTCCTTACTCTTGAATTTCACTAATTAATTTACTTAAGATTATCTCTTCAAAAAACTCTTATAGTTAAGGTAAAATCTCTTTACTTTTTTATTTTTTCTAATAGGCATTTTAACCTAGAACACAATATTAACAGTCAAAGGATTCAATATCTGAAGTTAATTCTTTCAATAATATATTTGTTGCTTTTAATGCATTATCATAAAATGTTACTGTTAAAAATATGCCAAGGTTTAAATTTCTCAACTTATTCTCACATACATGAGAAGTGCATTTCTAAGCCATTTAAACTATCAAATTGTTATGACCTTAAGCTTATGTAAAAGAAAATGTGTCCTAAAATTTCAAAGTAACAGTTAGACTAGGTAAATTATATCTAAAAAAATTAGTCAAACCATGTTATGAGTGAGTGGGTAACTATGCCAGACTAAAATTCCAGAGGTATTATCATGAGTGCACATTTTCAAACACTGAACATTATGCAAATGTGACAAAAACAGTATTAACAACAAGTAGTATATAAACATAGTAATTCTGAACACTATTTATTTAAATCCTAGTTTTCCAACCTTTCATAAGCAACATGTCTAAGTCTGCTGTTCCCACTTTCTTGTATCAACACTGCTGAATTCATTAGGGCTTGCTGCAATCATAGATATAATACAAGTTGAAATTAACAAGTTTCATACATGTACTGTACATGATATGAAGTATTCTGTAGAAACAAAAATTTTTTACTGAGAGCAAAAAAAATCATGTAACATGAACAAGTTGAATTTTCCATGATGAACTTTTATGCTATTCTCATGCAAGTTATAATGATATTGAGATTTCCAAATGTTGACCCTGGGTTCACGAGCTTGAGGAAACATTGCAATATTTTGGAAATTTAAGCTGTAACAAATAAAAAACACATATTAAAGATGTTTATTTAGATATTTTACTTAAACAAATTAAAATCATAAATTACTGTTACAAATGTTTCACCAGCTTGTAACAAGCTTAGGTTTCCAATTTATAGGATAATTAAATAGAGAGAAAAATATTCCTGATTCACATTTATGTTTTGATTTCCTATAAAGATGTTTCAAATGAGGTATCATAAACCTTATATGAGACAAAAAAAAATTGCCTACATTTATAGAACAGATTTTTACCTCGTGATTTGGGTCAATCTCTAAGGCCTTGTTGAAATAGACCATAGCTTGGGTAGCTTTCCGTTGTTCAAGGTATACCACTCCAAGCTGAAAAACGAACAACTATGTGTGACTATCAGTTTAGTTATTGTAGAAAATACAGCAAATCTTTATTACTCTTATTCTCTTTCAGCTATAATGAGGATACAAAATAGGAATAAATCAATACTAATGTTTTAATACAAAGACCAAGTATAAAAACTAGAATTTTCTCGTTTCTCAATTTTCACACAAAAATATACAAGAGCTATCTACAAATAGCCATCCATAATTTGTAACATAGGCTATTCTTGTCTGACCAAACTGTGGGATTTGACTATTGCTTTTATAGCACACACACATGGCTCGAAAGTGTGGTGTGTGTTTTTGTGTCAACAGAGTTAACCAGTTTTTTTAACAAAAAACTAGTATTTTCTTTTTTAAAAGTGATAACAGATTTCTTCTTGGCATGATGACTACAGTGAAACAAGGCAAAGTACATTAAACAGTCATATTAGTTCAGATATAATAGTAGTGATTACTTAAAGAAAGTAACACAACTACTTGTGTAATACAACTACACAGAAAGAAACAGTAGGCAGTTAAATGAATGTGTGTGTGTGTGTGAGGGGATGATACAATACCAGTCATTTGCTAAACCTTTTCAATAAAAGCTTAAAAATGGAGAGAACTTTTTGAAAATTCTTTGGAAGTCAGAGATTGAGCTTTTATATCTAAGAAATGGTATTCTTTTTTTATGAGAGAACCAAACCAGGAAATAAACCTTGTTGCATTAACTTATAATAGCAGTAATTATCAATAATTTAAAGCAAGCTACCTAGGTAGATCAGAACTGAAAACTAAACAAGCAACAAATACAGCTAATTTGATACATCATTTTTAGTAGGACCATGCAAAGACATAAACCAAAATTTATACTAATTAGAATGTGCCGACTGGTCAGTTTAGGTCCCATCATTAGTAACAATATTTTCAACAAACTTGATAACATCACACATAATTTGACCAGCTTAAGCAATTTAGGTTAGTCCTAAATCCAAATACTAAAATAACATAGCAAAATAATCATAATAACACATAATACAAATCTTTCAATTGTTTGTTTGTTTGTTGTAAACTGCAATAGATTACATGCGCTGAAGAAGGTATTGTTCAGTTCAAGCATTGGGGGATATGCTTTGAAATGATCTCTTTCACTCTTAAGCATTTTGGGAAGTTAGTGTCTGTTAAATAGGTAGGTATGAGATACTGGAAAATGGGGGCCATTAAATAAGTTCTTAATTGTTTAATCATTTCAGTAGGCTTGTGCTCATGGATTTAATGAATACAGTTAATTAAACTTAACGATAAGGAAATAGTAGAACTTATGGTAGGTATATCAGCTTTTAAATTTGAATTTTGTTTTTTTACATGCTTTACACTACATACGTGAGAGGAAATTTTTTAAATCAAATTATTATGACAAATATCTCTAGAGAATTAATACCTGTATATCAAAACCTGGACAATATATATTGCATTAATATTTTTAGCTATGTTTTACCCATTTGCATTTATAAAAATGCCAATTTATACAATTTTATTGATTAGTTTATGGGTGTATACATTTTATAGAATACTGCAAATATCTTTCTGGATATTTTCTTTTTAAGTGTATGTTGTGAAATTTCCAAAATTTTGTTGTAAAACTGATTTGAAAAACATTAAAATTCTTCTACTTATTTTAAGATTTTAACTTTTTAATGTTGATCAGAAAGTTCCATTTTATATGTCCTGTCAATTTGATATTCATTAATATATTTCTTTCAATACTTTATTTTGACAATTGCAGTAGTCACCACTTCCAACTAAAAATCATAAAAAACACGACATAAATTGATAGAGATTAGTGACCTGACCTTTCAAAATGTCATAGGGTCTGGCTGTGTAAACATATTCTTGTTAACAACATTCTTGGTTGAGATAAATATATATTTA